CACCTTTGTAAAACGCAATTTTCTTGTGCTCTTGAAATGCTTSTGTTATAAGTGTATTTATGAAAGTAGTTGCTATTAATGAGCTTCCTATGTGCCTAATTGTTGTATATACAGTACTATAGTGAGGATGTYGAGTTTTTAGCCAATAGGGGAGGCTTTTTCTATGAGTTATCTAATTCATCAATCATTTTATARCGATGAACAAAACGTTTTAAAGGTCTAGAGACGCTACGTATGGCTTAGTCTAATGATRTACAGATCATACATTCTGCCCATTCTTCTGTTGTAAACTCGACAACAGTTATATATTTCATAATTAGAGAAACACAATTGCCTTGGAATTTTAACCACCTACTCGGCCACAAATACCCCAACAATTTTCCTTGTAAATATCGATTTTTTTTTCAAGTATTTTATAACCATTCTTTACTAATCAGTAGTTCTGGTCTAAATAGACTCGTGAAGTGACTGCCTTATCATGTTAAATATGCATGGGAACTGATCAGTCAGGAATGCTTATCTTTTGACCCTATGAGGTTACGACGTTTGAAAGACAGTTAAAAAGTYTACCATTATTTACGAACTTGAGTCAACAATAACTGAGATGACATTAAAAGAGCCATATAAGAACGTCTTTAAAATATGTCTGAGATCAGTGTTTGAATTGCAGTACAGGGGACATTGCATGCCTACATGGGTGATCGTACCACTCTAGACGATTGTTATCTTATCCATGATATGACAAAGTTTTGACTGGTTGTCCCATCTAGAACAATAAACACGATATTTTGTGCTTTTATAAATCAATACATCGACACTGAATTGTGAGCGACTCGTCTTTGTTGTTTCAATCTTAAAGTTTGTTTTGACTTAGAAGTTGTGAGACATTGTAAAATTAAACGATTTCCTGTCCTTTGGTTCCGACATTCTTTATCAAGTATATGACAATTTCTGTTTCTTTAGTGGACATATTTTGTCTACCTTTATATGGTATCATTGCACTATAGCAGTATCGATTACGTCAAAGATACTCATTTGATTACAGTTTACCTTAAGACAAGAGATAACAAATCTCATATCTTTCATTCTAGTAGGGATCTTGTTGATATTTATTTTGCTATCAAACAAGTGTTCTTCCCATAAAGCCTCACACGGCGTTCAGGTTTCTGTAGTGTATCAGGTGTACATTTTAAGTAAAATTGTTAAATTATGGCATGAACATAACCATTTTTCTCCTGAATTATTTTGTTGTAATGTGGAAATAAACCTTTAAAAAATGATAAATAAATTGCTTTTTTCCATAAATCATTTCCTCGTGGTTTTAATGTAATTTTTAACTGTGTATGAATGTTTTGGTAGATTTGTACATTTGTACATGACTATAAAGTGCTGTATAGCTGACCAAACACTTTTAAAATCATTCATCGTTCTAAGGGCTCTTGGCTATATTGGCTGTCTTTTATCGTTTCACTGACAAACATTTTGATCTTTTGGACAATCCACAGCCAAAAAGAGGAGTTTGCGACATTATAATTCAGGATGTATCTAGTCTTATTCAATTCTTATTTCCATTCTTGTGRAAGGTKAAATCCACTTGCTCCTAACCGATGAATACGGCGTGCTAAAAATTTATATATTGGACTGTGTTACTTTGAAACCACTTATTTATACTGAAAGAACATACTAAGTTTTCAATCGAAGATACGCAAGGCTCTAGTAGAAATTATAYAGGATCTCACATATTATACTGGTAATAACTATCATTCTACATGAGATAAGGATGGGATATCCATCTCCATGTTTGATTGATTACGCCTATTAGGACGTCAAAACCTCCACAACTTCCGTCCCTCTTCGTTTACAACCCTGATAATAATCATCAATATCAAAAGATATATATATATAATATCGGTAATGCTTTTCCTCTAGTGTATTTTTTCTCCAAAAGTTTAATTACACTTCCTGAATAAATGGATTCTAATTTCAAATGTTGTCTAAAAAAGGTTCATTTGACGGGACAAAATCAGTAAAGCAGACGTAGTTAAAACTCTGTTAAAGCAGAAAAATTTAATGGATTTTCWGTTGTCGATAGTTTTTTAAGAGTGATATCATAATAGGTTAGTATAACCAAATTCMCAGCGGCAACTTGAGAGACTATTATCTTGTAAAGCTAAAGTGAAGAGTTCTTCAGGRAAAGTTAGGAACTTGTACTTAAGAACTTGAGATCAAAAGATCATTTTTAAAAGGCCAAGGTCCAAGTCTCCCAAACAAGGCACTAGGGGTATTTTTTAGAATATAACAGTAGATTTCAAATGCCCAAAGCATTGTATGCAGTGTATGACGCGAGGGCGGTCGTTGTTCAATAGATATTGATCAGGTTTTAATTCCTTTTAAATTAGCATGGCAAAGTGTAGAAATTGCTTGTAGATAGTTTGKTGTTATTTTACTGTTAGTGCGCTATCTTATACTTTGCTAAGAGTTGGATCTTTGATAGTCAAATTAACCAACACATATCGACGTCAATGAGGAGCAAATTATTGAAAATTGTACATTATGCACTTAACAACTTTTAATTGACGATTCTCGACTCGACCTCTTGACAAGTTCTTGGAAACACTATATTTAAAGTTTTGACAAGCGAAAGAACTATTACTGTTTGGCAATTCATTGCAGGAAAATTTTGATTGACGATTTTCTAGTTATCCTCTTGACAACTTCTTAAGAATATAACTAGTTAAAGAGAACGTTTAAGACAGAAAAGTTGTGATTGAAACTCGTTTATACATTACGCTGTAAAAAACCGCTAACACTTCKCAATTATACACAAAAGCCATCGCTTATAATACATGTTTCTGAACTCAATGAACGTGTATTGGCCTAATTCATCCATTCATTACCGCTACACCTATTTCCTTGTGCAATTACCACCGAATACAAAACTTTACCGTCGTATTAGTCTGCGGTTTGGTAGATTTTTGGTCGTTTAAGATGAGCTTCCACTTACTTCGGGTTCCGGTACAATCTTTTTAAGTGAATTTACAATCCCGCCCTTAGATGTCATTCATACTACACAACCACGGAAACAGAGTGCTTATGATGTTACCAAGATATCAGGCATTCAACTAATTCGTTTTCGGATTCCTTGCTATCTGTGCGTTGAATCTAAAGATAGCCACAACTTAGGATAACACAGTTTAGAATACTCGTAATGCTCATTGTTGTTCTACCAAAAACAAACGAACGCTTTCTGTTGTGAGCTTTTGTTAAAGCGATTAATTAGGGATACGTAAATTATAGCGAAGCTAATCTGAAGAATAGAGTCCCACCATTTTCACACCTCTTTCACAATCAAACATTTGTGTTAATGGCCTGTTATTGAGATTGTGAATGTTCATTTGAGACCCCGGTGTATTCAGTTGTCCCATTTCCGAAGAGTCTATTGTTGTACACTAGCCATCAAATTCTCGACAGGAAACTCAATATTTCCCTACTTCATTGGAAAACAGCACTTGATTCGAGTGATCCAAGATCCTGTATTTTGATCGATGTTTTTGAAGGGTTTGTTCAAGCGGTTTGTGTTATAAGCGTACTATCGCTAGTACGTTGTCATGTTTAGATCTAAAAGTTTAGACTTAAAACTGTGGCTGTCACACTAATGTCCAGCCTTTGTTTAACAAGTGTCCACCGATAGTTAGTCGCTATTTTTTTGTTCTCGGTTGATACCCAAGACCCCACATGTAGATTCCCATGGTAATTGCCAAATACTTGGATCTGACACATTTCGAAGATCAACCCATTTCATTATAGCTTGTCGTTTAAAAGTAGGTCGCACGAACGGAATTGTTCGGCAAATTGAATTAAGGAATTCTTTCAACTCTTAAGTGGGTCACACGCTACTATCATTAAACCAATGTTAAGCACTTTCTAACGGAGTAATATCACTAAAATTAAGATTTTCGATCATATCGTGTGTCGAATTTTGCTGTGAAGCCTGCGAGAGAACCAGCTAGATAACATGAGATCCTTTTCCAAGCTAAAATGTTTTTGTTTGCCCGCTTTGTTTTCTTTGATGTTCAGTTCTTGACAGCGCATTATCTTTTGATAGTTGAAATTGGAGAGGCTATTTTACGTGTACGGTTTAAGGGGCATTAGGTTTGTTGTCTTTGGGAACCAACTCCATTAGATTTCGATTGAGATGTATTGAATGTATTGGACCTAAGATTCCTAGAGCCAAGTGTCTCAATAATGCATTTTTAGAGATAAGGCTTTTATTTTTGTATTTATTGCTAAATGATAGCAATTACTAAGTCGAAAATCCGCCGATAGCGCCAATTGATTTCGGCATTTAATACCAGGACTCCCCAAATAGAACACAGTGATAGCTTGATAGTATAATGGTCATTAAAAACATGTCTAAACTTAAAACGCTCAGAATAGCAAACAGGAAACATTAGTATTCACATGGACAATTCTAACATTTCCAATTTGTTGGTTGATTCATAGAAATTAAACCACCATTAGTTAGTTSATTTCTTGTGTGTGTTCACCCAGATGCCCACTGCTAATGGTAAAAACACATGCTATTGTCTTTGGTGTCGCACTTCCGTCGATAAACGAGCTTAAAGACTGTGTTAATGCTCGTATTTTGATCTCAGTTATAGCTAGACTTAACCTCTTTCCAACACTCATCAGGAATTTTTCAGTGAATAGTTGTCGATATTTTAATCTCCGCGTATTGAAAGTCTGACTGTGGTGGCTTAAGAAGACGTGTTGGAGGAGGGGCACTTAAATGAGTATTGACGAAGTGTTTTACAATCACATTAAGCCCTGAATAAAAGCTTTTATAATGAGGTCTAATGAGAAGCTTTGTAGATTTGAACGATGAAGTATAATTAAAGGTTGTGGGATAATCGACCTTCAAGGAGAGTTAGGATGATACTTGTAGAACACCCTGGTTGATAAGTTGACTATATCTTGATTTACTGGACCACCGTCATTCAATTACTAGAATTCCACCTTTCTTTATTGTTATACTTCTAATTTCTATACACACATTAACTTGTTTCTCCTTGATGGACATTACTTAAAGCCATATACACAACACCAACAATTGTACTTGTAAATTMTCTAAATGTACATAAACTACCATTCCTATCTAGACCTACTAACATTTGGAATCGATATTGTGCTAAGTCTTCATTATACTTCATAAATAATTTTCCAGCGATGATGTTTGAGAATAAAACTGTCATCTACACGAATGAAAAAAACTTGAGATAAGATGCCGACACTCAATTAGCAAAGAGGGATAACAGTTATGAACTCCTTAGCTAACGATCGTTTATTGTACAGGATGCTTAACGATGAATAAACTACCTCTGTTGCAGAGGTTTAAATCAAAATTATATTACAAAGATTCATGAACATCTAATCTTAGATTAGAGTTAATTAAACTCCTAATACTCGACAATCAAGCAGGATAAAGTGTGTAAACTCATGGAGAACGATCCACTCCGAGAAATATGCTCTTGTCAWAAGGATTACATTTCCGTATCGACAAGAAGTGAGAGTTATCTTCAAACTGAACTGATAAGAGTGTTCTCGTGAAGCACACGGCTCTTGAATATAACTAGGTAACGATTTTATGTGTCTATATACACGAAGAATTTCCTTTAAATGTGTTTCTTGCAATCAAGATGTGTTGACATGAATTGAATTGGTAACATCCGCAAGTTCTTTAGTCGTGCTATACTCCAAAATAAAATCCATACGGCACACCGTAGCTAGGCATGTAAGGTGGTATAGGAAGAGGCGCTAATGTAGGAACTGACATGTCATCGTACTGTTTACGATCATCTCTTATAAGAACTCGAACAGCCACCTTTTTAGCAGCGCTCGGGGGGAATATTTCAGATGCGAGTTGACGGCGCTTTGTCTTGTACCTTCGGTTCTGGAACCAGATTTTGACCTGAGTTTCGGTCAGCTTTAAAGCGGCCGCAAGGTCCGCTCTCTCTGGTCCTGAAAGATATTTTTGATGACCAAACCGTCTCTCTAGTTCGAATACTTGTTGATTAGAAAAGGCCGCTCTGGATCTCTTTTTACGCGGTTTGGTTTGCTGTTGTTGAGTCGATGAGGTGTTTCGGACTTCTTCTCTTTCAGGACCTTATGTGTCAAGAAACAAAAAGCTTAAGTTAGAAACATAGGATCAGGTTAATTAGAAGGCGGTGTGTTTTGCCAGCGCTCGGTGCTTATCACTAAATATAAGCCATGTAAATCAAAGCTCAATCTAATCCAGTGTGTCAACTTACTTGATTCGTTCGACCGTTTACATTCTTTAGTGTTTTCTTGGCTTACAGTTTGCTCGTTATCTTTTGACGGACTGCTTGCTCTAGGTTGTGATGAACTAGGATAGTCAGTACATGGAGTGAATGCTTGGAAATTGACAGTACTGGCGGGTAAGCATGGTGAAGTTGGCAGGTACGAAGGCATCTGATAGTGTTCACAACCTCTTCGTTCCCATATAGTACTGTTGTGATTTGTGCTCTGTATCTCTTTGCGATTCAAAATATCGGTGATTGAGAATGGYGTTGCAGTAGATGACTTGGTTGTGTCTTCCATGGTAGATCAGTGTTTATACGGTGATCGCTGTCCTCGTCTTAGCTCTCCTGGCAAGCCGACACCACCCGTGAACCTGACTACCGTCCCACACTGAAATAGCACTTTGGGCCCTTAGGAATTTTTCAATATCTTCAGTCATTGATAAGAAATCAAAATTGAACATTAATCGCCTATTGGCCGAAGTTCACGTATCACTTAGGAGCTGTTGATGAGAGGATCAAGCTAATAACGGCCTCCGATTGGTTGATTGGTTCATTTACGTAGTTTGTTGTCGTTGTTTCAGAAAGCGTTGACACAATGCAATTAGCAAACACACGGGGCTCTCAATTACGCAAAGATTTAGGCCTCATACAGACAAAGAATGACTACATTAAACCTCCATTCCAATCGGGTGCAAATTACTAGACGACTTTGCAAACAAGATTTGTTTATTTTATGTTAAGATGTACTTTACGTACAACATTACATGTTGGGACCTTAATGTCCATAAATGAATGACCTGGATCAAGCGCAAAGGTGCGAAATACTTTTTTTAAATCCAGATTATCGATTAAGTACTCGTTAGGTGCGACACCATCAGCTTTTAACGGGAAGGTGTGACAAGCATCCTGGACGCCGCAGGGTGACGTCCCGCTGATCTTTAACAGCACCCACTAAAAGTGCAATTTGACAGTCTACTCTTAAATGCTGGCAGGATGATAGGAGTGGGAAGATATTATCAAAGGTCTACAAACGTTTGGATATTTCTTACTTGTTAGTGACTTCTGAAGGAACGCCAAGACACAAGTCTATCAGCAAAAGCGTTAATTTGTTGATTATTTCGCTATTGTCACGTAATGTCTTGTGATTGACAAGCGAAGAATGGCGAACGCGCCATCTGGTGCGAACGCATTGTTGTCAACGTTTACTTGCACTTTAGGACATTTTCATACAATGAGTGATTCAAGCAGATTTTATTTTGATCTCATTTTACCTCTCAACGGAAGCTTAAAGCAGCCATTTGAAGATGAGGCTCTAGCAATCCATTGACAATATTGGGTATTAAAAGGGTTTTGCTGTGACACTGGATTGCTTTCAAGAATTTCTATCAAAAACTATTAATATGTAACGTATGGGCAAGTGACTTGAGAAGGATTTGGGTTGACTAATGCGATTAAATGAACTCAAATTGCTAAAAATGGTTTGTGTTTTCTTTTCACCTTTTATAGTGCGGCAGCTTTCCATACAGTGTCGTTCCCTCCAGCGAAAAGGCCAATCAACGATGCTTCGTTTCCTTTTGAAAATCTATAAACCAATTTTACTTCAAGGCAATAAGAGAGTAAAAGAAATCATGWCGTTGCCAAGGAAAATAGAATGCAAATTGGCTGCAATCAGCTTTCAATTTCCCATCATTTCTTTAAAAGTCCATGGCTTGTTATCTTTAATGGAAAAAAAATTGTTTGCGTTTGTTTTTGACAGTTTTTACTCAGGATACCAACAAAGAGACATCGCTTCTTAAACCCTAATCTTTTTGATGGAAGATAAGAAAAATTAACAAATGTTCCGAACTGTAAAATCTTTTTGAAAAACAACGCGCTAACATTTGTTAATATTCATAATATTTAAAGTAGGCAATTCCTCAGTTTTTTTCTTTGTATATTTCCCATTGAAGGATTTTTAGGAAAACTTTAAGTGTTCAATGGGGAATGAATCAAGGGTGCTCAATTCGAACAGCAAGAGTTGAAAGACAATACGAGTGCTTGTAGATGTGAAGTAGTGAGTGGTAAATGTTTTATTTTGGCTTTCTATCTATAAATGTGTGCGGAGAACAAAGAAAGCCTTCTAAAATCATAAGTAGACAGATCGTTCTCATCAACTAATGTTTTAGAATTGTGAACCGTAATGAAAGTACTTGTRAGGTGTAGCAATATCGTTCTTTTTCTTGACACGGAAATTTCTCTAATGGACTAGGCATAATTTTGGTGGTTACCGGTGGTGCTTGTACCAAATCTATTCTAAATGTATACCCAAAAACGCAAATTAACCAGCAATGAATGTCATCATTAATTCTAAGCTTTTGTTAGGGCGTAATTATTCCGGCTGAACTCCTTGCCACTTTCTTGACTAATTAGTCTTATCGTTTCCAAACGAAAAAAATTCGTTTTTTGTGGATAAGCGCAAAGGCTCAGAAAGACTTTACGCAGTAACACTGTTTCATGCTTGTGTTATTCCTTATCTCCCCATGTCTATCAGTCTGTTTGAGACAATACAAGATTCAAGCGCCTATGTCATAAAACTTGAGCTATGAGCCTCCTCACGATATATCCAAAGACTTACTACCCGAGTAAAAACGTAAATAGTGTTCTTAAATATTTTTATTGATGATGGAGTCAAAAGTCATATTTGCGAAGAGACAGAAAAAGATGATATTTGCTTCGGCACGTCACTGATTCTTATCAAAACCAACTTTTGAGAATAGACCTAATCGTTGAAGCACTGAGTGCTTAATCTAACTTGTTGGGAGAGTAAACACTATAATGTTAACTTAGCTACATACTCTACTTTTGATTAACCTTAATACACAATAGTTCCTCGAACGCATATATAAATACAGCATGTTCCTAAGACAAAAAAAATCCGCATTAAATTGATAATAATAGTTCTTAATTTTTTCCGTTGAGCTCACAACACTTATGTACAATACATGTATATTTTATCTTTTATCAAACGATATATCAGTTTTCCTGTATTGTTTGGGAACTTGCTTTGACTATTTTACACTTGGAATAGCAAAAAATTAAATACGTTGTGAGTGTTGGATATCGTTTTTGGCTATGCCGTGCTCAGCCAGCTGAAGTCCATTGTCTTTATGTCACCATGTTCTATTGGTGAGAGGATTATTTTGCGCTGGATACATATAGTGGGCTGGGAAGTTCATATTCATGTTATAGCCGTAAGTTGGGATTTGTTCTCTCCCCATACAGGGTTCCCCATCTCTTACTAATACAGGAACCGATACTCTCCTTGGTTCTGGAGGTAAACCATACCATGATTCCATTCCTGCAGCTCGAGCTTTGTTTTCTATGGCTTGTTTCTTACATTTGTAGCGCTTATTTTGAAACCATATCTTGACTTGGTTCGGTGTTAACTTAAGCATAGTAGCGAGATGCTCTCTCTCCGGTGCCGAGAGGTACTTCTGTTGTTTGAAACGTCTCTCTAACTCGTAAACCTGCGCTTGTGAGAATAATACTCGAGGCTTTCTGCGGATTCGTTTCGGTTTGCTGCCCACATCAGTCGAAATGGAATTCGCTGTTGAGAGGTGCTGCATGTCGTTCGGCTGTGGTTGAGAAACGTGAAGGTCTTGAGTGATTTCATGGCTATCTGGCTTGCTGTTGAGCTCGGAATCCATTGACACTGCAAAGTTACAACAAGAATCGGGTGTCAGCACATAACTAAAAGTATCAACAACCACACTACCATAAAGCGTTTTACCCTAAGGGGCTCCCTCAATAATTAGTATAGTGAAAGACTTCCACGCCCCGAAGATTGCAGATTGTAAATATTTTTCCAAATGTGACTGACATGCATTTGGAAAAGCTTTCTGCTCTGATAGTTCGCGTGAACACGCGGGCGGAGGAAGGCGCTACAATACTACAGGATCTAACTATTCAAGCAAGCTTAGTCTCGATACTTTGATCGATGCACGAAGTACCCATAACGGACCGTAGCAATGGCTTAACCTTTCGATGATGCTGCTCTCTTGGGCACTTGAAACAATTTCCCTCCCCCTACTTTGCGTCCAGAGATTTGATTATAATTGTGAACATCATACGAAATAAGAAAGTCAAACATCATTCCTAACAGGCAAATACACAAAATCATTTAAGCTACTTGTCGATTTATGTCTTATACCTTGTGGAGGTCCTTCGTGAATCTGACTTGTTGTAGCGCTAGCGTTTGGATGAGTCGGCACATCGCTTTTCATATACATCGGTCTTGTGGTCTCGCCGTAAAGATAGCTACTATTCGCGCTTTCTTGTATGTGTAGACTAGGGTTTGCGGTTCCTCCACTCTTGTTAGGCAAAGTGTGAATCGAAGACATTTGTGTTAGGCAATCGCTTTGACCTGCTTTTTCATAACTCGGATAGAATTCGCTTGATCCAAGTAGATTTCGCACAGTATAAGGTGCTGTAGAGTTAGGATGCATCATGGCTGACGATGGCTTCCCCTCTACTATTTGAATTTGAGTTTCTTTAACCTTGCGGTTAGGGTTGACTTTTGAAAGGTACCTAAATGAACTAAATGCTACGAGGAAATGAGCAGACTGATGTTTATTTCGTAGACCACTAGATAAGTAACTCTAGGGGATGTCAATCAATACCAATTAAATTCTGTCTTACGTTCGATTTGACGTAACGCAACGCCTTCTGATTGGTACGTCAGACACGCGATGACATTTCTTACAAATTTTCAAATTGGCTGTAGCTGTCAAAGGCACTTTCTGATACAAAGTGTTGCCATTTGTTCAGCCTGTTAAATGGGACACTATACGAGTCACTATTATCATTTACGAGCATTAGTGAGTGACATTTTCTTTTAAACGCATCTAAAAGTGTACTTTACTGAGCAAATATTCGGGTTCATTATGTTATTGTTTCGTCGTATTTTTTTTTCTTTTCGCTACACAACTGTATAGGCTTTAGACAGGGCAGTGTAGTATCAACAAGGGTCATGCGAGTGTTCCAGTGTAACCTTAGAAAGACAGAGAAATGTAGAAGTCACCTTTGTGGGAGCAATTGAAGGGATTTCCTGCAAATATGATAAGTCGTGTGGATTAGCTGGGCTCGTATCTGTTATAAACCAGGCGTTCTTTTCATGGGGGCAAAATCTCGAGGAATGGGGTTTTCGTGTATCGTGTTCTCCGAGTGTATACCTTTTTCATGTAAATTGCACGCCTTTGTTTATGTGGCTGCGCGAGTGCTGTGCGCATGCGTGATAATTTTTAAAACTCTAGCTGCTGCTACTGATAAAGTGTGAAGGTTTATTGGGACATTTAACACCCCATGATTGCCTCTAATAAATGATTGTAGATACTTTGATAAGATGCTCAAAGAAAACTTGCTTTGGTCAATCATTCATTTGAGAGTGTTGTGTGGTGTTTGGACTTTTCACTTGTGTGTAGAGACAAAACCCAAATCGACTATAAGTGGTAAACATAGCTAACCAAATGATAGTATTATCTTGGAATCGTAGTAGAACGATAATAAGAAGCCCCTGTGAAACAATATCGTCAAAAAGTGTGGTTTGTTTTAGACAGGATTCCGCCAAGTTGTCGCCTTGAAGACACATACTATAGATGACTCAGATACTGCTAATGGTGTCCGAGTCAATTGGACCTTTTGTTGTAGGATAAAAGGAAAATATGTTTCGAGAAATGTTTTCTCAAGAGAACAGGTGATGGAAGCTAGGCAGGAGTCAACATTTGTTCCCTTTAACCAGTGTTAAAAGCTGAGTAAATTATGAGAACGTAAAGACACGTATATTGGCTATTGTGTTTAGCCTGGTGCATGGTATTAATTGCTTAAAAAAGATATATTAATTGTGATTTCATTAGACAATTATACTGCCATCATTAAAGCTTTTCGCTTTCTAAAACCCTAGCTCACACCTCTCAAAACACCTATTAGCCTATACAAATACCCTAAGATGGACTAAAAGTCGCCGATAATGAATTCACGTGGATTAAACAATTTCTTTTTAATATTTTATAATATGATAGTCGCTTGGACCACGACTCTTTGAAAAAATATTTGCTCGAGTTCAACAAGCTCGATTTAAGTTCTCATCATGTTAATTGTTTTTCTTGTGAAGCGTTACTTATGTTCGCTGTCAATCTTAACAAGAAACTTTAAGCTGGTCAAACTTTGGTATATTTGCAGAGCCTGCTAAAATAAATACTTGAGAATCTTTGAATTTTTTTAGCGATAAGCATGACAGGAGCTAATTTCCTGTTTTCAATTCCATCGGGCAAGAACTTACTCCCCGGAGTCCTYTTCGTTTTGTTCCGATTAAAAACAAAAATGGCTGCGAAAATAAGTCAATTCATGGATGAAGATTTCATGGGTTGCGGCTGTGTTTACCTCGGCAATTAACGGCTGAGGATAAGGTGCAAAATCCTAAGTTGTTTTTAAGAGGTTTGATGTTTTAGGCATTGTTTTCTTAAGCAATCAGCTTGAAATTTCGCGGTTTTCAGACCAGTTTTGACACTATTTTGTCTTAAAATCCTGGGAGAAATATATAATTTGTTTATATTATGTTAACAAATGCAGGGGACATCATAAAAAGCATAACAACAACCACAATATGCCTTTGTAACCGTGTCTTGTTGTTTAGAATTTAGATATTCTAGAAATGATATTCAGCTTATAACAGCACATCACTATATGCTCAATAGCATTGAGTGATTAGAGGCAATCGAGTGTTTCTTGTGAGAAAGCATGGTCTAGCTCAGCTGTTTGAGAGCGCCCAGACAAAAGCCACCCTTAATGTGTTTGCTCAGTGTATGTCATCAGCTAGAATTTATTTTCATATTMCTGCGAAAAAAATAGCAGTGTTAGATTAAATGTCACATCGTGTAATTACATGCTTCGTTCTTCGTTGATCTCTAGTCCTCCATACTAGCGAGCCTGCTTCTTGTAACTATAACTACAGCTTGTTGTGGGAGCATTTTTGAGGTGGCTCTTGTAGCTGAGGAGCAACCACCACATCGATATGATGATGATGATTTACACAATGCTTCAACACGCGCAACACTCAAAATAAACCCTCTCAAGCCTGTGATTTACGATGGATCGACTATAATCAGCCTTTCTTTGCACGTTTGCATCGGGATTTGTTTTAATTAATCGGCACTGGGYGATATAATAACATGAAGCGTGTATTGCACGTCAGAGACCCTAGTTTCTTTTTGCTCGATTTCTATAAATATCACAGGATGTGGCATTCACGTTACTTTCATTCCCACATTTACCTGTCAAATTTTGACAGCTTATTATTGGATTTGCAAAGCCAAGACACGCATTTCGATGGCTAGAATAACGTGCGAATGGCGCGGTTTGTAATGGCCGTCTTTGCCATTGGTGTCGTATCAGTTCCATCTCATCGTGTGCAATTAGTTTTCACTAAGCATTAGACTAGCAGCTCTTTTTTTGCGATAATGTCATCAGAAAAGGTGACTACGTATTATCGAGTTATTGTTAGCTAATTTGTATGGGCGTTCCAGGTTTAAGGACGCTCTTAGCGCAGTTGAGTCTATGTATTTAGCTGTAAAAGACAAGACTAACAGCGTAACTCGCTGACAGAATCCGATTGATGAGCAGTTCGAGGCGAACCTGTAGTGTATTTATGCCAAATCGCTAATAGTATTATTAGCTCAAGTCGACTTTTACAAAGATTCATTAACATTGTAGGAATAGCTTAAGCTTTTGAACCCGATAGGTCAAAACCAATCTATTAGCCAAATGACTAGCTTTAGATAGACAGTTTGCTTGCTTTGTTAAAAGGCTGGTCTTATCTAGATAGTATCAGGTTGGAGTAAACCTTTGAAAAGGGGTGGAGTGTTTTCCACAGGTACACAACCTCAAAATCACTCCATTCACGCTGGAAGTAAAAACAGTCATAAGTAATTGCATTAAGTGTGCTATCATAGCGCTTGTGTTTACTTTTGGTTGATATGTGTTTACATAGCTAATGAGTCCTCTTTCCGTATTACCTTYGCTCGTTGACAGAACAACCAACCGTCGGGTTTTCCTTCACCTCGAAGGATTGTAAAGTGTGAAATAGGTGCCAATAAGAAAAGGCTTTATTCGCGTGTGTATTTTCTGAAAAGGCGATAACTAAGTATAAATAGCCCAAGGGTTAGGCACAGCTTTATGTCAGACTTTCTACTTCAGATCTAAGGAAAATGTGCTATACAAAAAGTGATCTCAACTTAGTCAGACGTCAAGAGGCTCTTCAAAAAGTATTCACACATCATTTCTTTTAGAAGGGCTATGTTCTCAGCAAGATGTGAATGATTCTTTAGCTAAGCTTTATGAGGCTTTGGAAAAGAGAATAACCTCATTTCGATCAGTATAGTAAGGGCAATCGAACGCATGTCTTCATTTTCGCGAAGGGAAACTGATAACAGTGGAGTAACACTCAGTCGACCGGCCAAGGATACATTATTAGACCAGCACAGGATATCACAAAAGCCCGGGGAAATTTGGTTTTGCGATTTTTAGACAGTTCTATTTTGAAATCACGAGGGAAAAGGACGTGTTATAGGTGAGCTGACATTAGCTAGCATGGCGGTGATGATTAACGATTCTTTGCGTAATGGCTGTTTACATGGTTCAAGCTGTGTTTGTGTGTAAGGGGTGGAACCATCTCAGCTAATCTTTTATGTGTTATAGAAATAACTCGGTTGTACGCGCTGTACTTGCTGACACCTAAACAAAAGAAGCGTTGTTTATAAGACATAGGTATAGCCTAGCCGTCTTCCGAACGAAYGTAATAGTGTTTTCAGCCATTTTAATTATTATGCTTCTGTGAATGATCAACGTTGAGATGAATGCTCCGATGAAGCGTATCTCAGCCGTCAATTTTGACAGATTTCGCGCAGCTTCGCGTGAACACGGTTTAGTTATAGATGCATTACTCAAACTAGCCATACACGTTATAATTTTATAAATTATGTCAGTACTCAATCAACAAATCCTTTCTCCTTTCTATRTAAGCAGCTTTCGATGTAAACGTTCAGATGCCGTGTTCCGTGTTTGCTCATCTATTTCTTTGTTTTACGAAGTTCAAACATGTGTTTAGCCAGTCATGTATAAAGAGAAAAAAGAAAGCGAGATTGTTCTTTGTTTAATCGTTTTATTTACAGACTGTGGGCGTCTTTCCTTCTGGGCAGGAAAAGTCCCATCAGTTGTTATTAATACTAGTACAATCGTCGTGTAATATTTGTTTTGCGCAGTCAGAACAAGTTCATTATTTCGCTAGTGCTTCAAGCCGTTTGGAACTATTGTTCTCATTTAATCAACCAAACAAAGACTGCAGACTTGGTTATATCGTATTTCGATAACTAGCGTTTTATTTACACTACTTACCTCTGTATATTCGACGTTTTGAAAGTTAATTACCTAAATTTAACAACACTGATCGAATCGCACATCGTGACTTAGTAAAGCCAGAGTGTTTGCTTTTTACCTTGAAAACTAGGCTTAAAAACCTTCCAAATGATCAGATCCGTAACGAAACATAGAAGCTTAGTAATGCTATGATTTCTACTCAATGTGCTGACTCGAATAAATAATAAATACAAAAAAAAATATGGCTGAAGGAAAACTTTCTGAGTACTATAATTAAATTCATTCCCTATGGCATGCCGTTGTAATACGATTAATAATTCCTAAAATTTCACRAGAAATGATTTACAACGCAGTCGCTATTTTAMGAAAATGCTTTCGAGAAAAATATGTGAAATTCGTGTCAAACTGACGAATCATCTTAACGGGAAAACTTGTTCAATTTAATCACAACGAACTAGCAGACCTCTTGGAAGCTTTTCAATTTCTCTAAGTAGCCATTTATTAAATCTTTTTGTACGTTGCTCAATGCTATCTGGCAGTAGCGTAATTATTGACGGACTTAGTAACACAAGTTAGGAATCAGTTAAGAAAGAATAGACATCACTTTATACGGATTATCTTCCTTCTTTTGTAGCAGAAAAAGGCCTTTTATCTACGTACAAGAGCGGCTAAGGTTTCTCTGTACGAACCATAGGGATTTTTTTTTGTGATAAAGTTAACTGTGTATTGACTAGGTCGAAAGGGTCATAAATCACAAGCCGCTGGTTCTTATTCAAAGCCCGATAACAAGGCATTTTGTGAGTTCCTTGAAATTCAAGTTAAAACACTTAGACTCGTGAGCTATCGGTGTGCGAACAACGAGAGAATTGGCCCTGCAGATCAGAATCGATAATCCATTTTTTGAATTTTCATGATTCTGTTAATCTTCATCGTGATACATATTTCTTTCTCGGTACTCGTGAAACCCACCTAATCATTTACTGTACATGTGTTATTGACAGGTAGAATGAATGACCAATATCTGGGTGTTTTTCGCCGTAATGCCTTTTTTGTTTTCTTGTTGCTTTTAGTTCAATCATTTTTATAAGTCTTTTTTACGCGCGCTCTCGAAAAACGCTCATCAACATTCAACTCTGATCACGAAAAACAATCTGACGAATCCTATTGAAATAAAGTATATAAACCCATCCTTAAAATGTCAAATTTTACAAGATTTTTAAAGTAAATTGTAATTTTCTCATTAGAGTTGCTCATCTCAATATTTAAATCATTTTAGATGCGATTTTGCATTGTAATGTGGCAAAAAAGTGAATTTTTGTACATTCCATGCTCTAGTCTGTTGCAATATTTTGGAAATTGTTTTGAGCTGTACCTGTTAATATAGGTGTTAACGATGCCTTTACGGCGAAATCATTTATCAGAGGACAGTTTACAGTACAATTAGTAAGATATTCATTGAGCTTTTTCTTCCTGCTTTTCTTGATCCAGCCTGGAAAATGGCCATTTATAAACAGCTGTACAATTTTATTCTAACGAGACTTTTTTGTTCTTTTTACTTTTTCCGGATTTTATTTGTATGGATTATCTTGTAAAATCTAGTGTTCCAATATTTCACAATATCGCCTGTGTGTGTTTCATCGCTAAGATCTTCGCTTAAGAAATAACTGTGTTATTACGGTTGATATTTCACTGAGACTTACTGATATCGCCTGTTGGCCTCTTTCCTTTTTTTAACAATTGAATTAATAGTCTGATATCAAAATAGTAGTAATGTTTATTCTTCATAGAAGCTCTGCATGGAAAAAGATGATGATTTGCGATGCCCACAAACTAGACGTCGAGAAATACATGATAAAATACTTTTTGACACCAAACTTTTATTTACGGCTTTAAGAAAAATAGACAAAGTTTATTTTATTGTTTGGTAAAGTTGCCCTGAAGGATTAGGTTTCGTAAAAGCGAACAAAGTCTCTTTTTTCATGTCGATTTACATATGTTGTTTGGTAGAATATATTTTTGAAATTTTCTCCAAACCAGACAATTACGTTATTTGTCTTTATTTTAACTCAAAATGATGAGTATTCTGCTCTTTTTCTAATCGAAGGGAAATTGTAAAATCTACAAAATTAACATAAAAATACGAGTTATAAGATGTTTTAAAGTGTTGTAGAGTCAATCAATGAAAACTGAGCCCTTTTTGACTCGTGTCATCAAGCGTTCATTTTCTTTTTCAAAGTTTCAAYGTTGGAAAGATAGCTATTTCTAACATCGATGGAAAATGATTATTGAGATTTTAAACAAACTCATTATATGGAAAAAAATTACGAAAACTGAGTGAAAAATACGATCGCTCGAGGCTTTAATTATTTCCAAGAGACACAATTCGACCACACTTTGAATGTGATAATTAACTTTAGCTTCTATCTTTTCTTACTTTTCATTTTCTATTCAAGTTAAGRGAAGTCTTATCGATCCAAAAACCGTGACATGTATTTTTCAACTTCTTGTGATTTTCTGATTATACCTCGGAAGATAGATCCATGGCATACTTGTATTATCACTCTCCTTGAGAGTAACAAAAACGAACAACCGTCGAAATTGGAAGTAAAACGTGATAGTATAATGAGCTCTTAAATCACCTCACTGTCCTTTCCCATTTGATCATTCTTTAAATTTGCCTGACTTTATCTCGATTCTATGCATTCTTTGAGTTTAGTACCCGGTATTGATGCASTGAGATATACTAAGACGTTTGATTTTAAGATTAGACGTTAAGACGGTATTTTTGAATATGATGCTATCTGTTATTTCTATCGTCATTAGTGATATAGTCAGTGCTTTGCTCGTGTATTGTCTCGTGTTTTCTATGGTGAAGAACAACCTATGTATAACACTTTATACGCACGTTTTCTATTTTTTGTCAGTCATCAAGACCAAAAGGACTGTGTTTTCTATTTATTTTTGTTATTTCAAGTGTGTTGTTTTCCTTTTCCTTTCTGTCAGGATTCTTTTTACATTAAAATTATAATTCTATTGTTATTCGCTCGCTTTTTGAGATGTTTTTTTATAGTTTCGTGAGACAAGCTCCCAATTTAGCCAATTCTCTGGTTTTCTTCAATGTTTTCTCTGTGGCCCTATATGATCAGGTCATGTATCTTGTAGCATCGTGTTTCAACTCTACGCGAATCAATAGCTGAATTCATGTCTGTGGTAACAAGTTTATGCCCTTTCCACAACTCGATAACAGAGTATAGTTAACAGACTATGTTCACTGGCATATTTTATCCCTTTTAGTGTAGGCTAAATGAAGAATATTTTACACCACATACTTCTTGTTTCGACTTCAGCAAAGTGTTCTTAGCGCTCAGATAGTCATAAAGTGGATGAAAAGGCTGAACTTATCTCACTTCTGATAATGAATCGAGTTTATTGATTATTGACGAGAATCACAAGGAGGGCATAATCAACTGTAAGATGAAAACAATTTTCATTTCGTTTCCTTTTACTTCTAGTTTATATCCAGCTCTATTTTTTTTATTTTACTGGTTAACTGCATGTGCAAATATCCTTAAATCGTAGTTTTCTCAGTCTACATTTTTTAAAGTTAGTAAAATATCAATCTATGAATATTTTCAGATTATCAAAGTATTCTTATCCAAAAAACTCATTTTTTTTTCTTTGTAATATTATTAATAAAATATCCTTTAATTTACATTCATAACACACCAGAAACTAAAAACCTTCACTAGAGTTGTGGGAAATGTCAATGAATCTACCGAGTGAATTTTTCAAGTGAGGCATTTTGTGATATTACAGCTGTGAATCCCAATCAAGAGGAGTTTACAAAGTCAGTTTTTTATTGTTTTCTTAAAGCTTTGTTCTTGACATTGTTTTGTTTGATGTGTGGCTTTCTTTTATTGGGATAAGAGGCAAATCAATCCTCTTAGAGAGTCTTCACAGCACTAAGTTCTTCACTTATATTTAAGCGCCATTAAAGTGAGCAAAAGTCGAGGAAATGGCCTTTTAGATCTTCAATTTAGTTTGAGTTTTATGTAATAGCAAAATTGCTTGTCCTTTGATTTCCTCGTACAACCAATATCTTCGATGCAGTTACTGTAAAACTATGCATTAAATTTAATCAGCTGGAATTTTATGAAGTTTTTGGTGGAAAAGTAGTGTGGAACATGACTAGCT